GATTTGATATATTTCTGATAAAAAAGTTCTGTGAGGTACATCTCTTAAGAAAAATACCTTAATAAAGTTACTATAGATATATCAGTGGTGGCGAGCCTATGGCTTGCGTGCCACTGCAAGCTACTTGTTATCATTGAAAACTCCAAAAGGTTCGCCATCCCTGATCTATACTTTCCTAGTATGTTGTCATGGTTTATATCTGGATGACCCCCCCAAAGTCTCAAGCACTCATAGGGATTTTTAAAGGTTATTGAATCATGGGCATCCTATGATTGAATGTGGTGCTAGGGGGTGGGGCCTGGTTGGAAGAGGTCACATACTGGGGGCGTGACCCGGCAGGGTTTGTCCCCCTCTCTTCCTCTTCCCTGCTCTCTCTGCTTCCTGGGCACCATGATGTGAGCAGCTCTCCTCCGCCCAGGCCCATCCACCCTGCCCTCTTGCCTTGGAACCCACCAACATATACTAAAAACGTGAGCCAAAACAAACCTCTCCTCCTCCAAATTGTGGGTGCCGGGTATTGTGTTTCAGTGACATGAAGGTGTGAAAGACACATGTACAGAATACTTGAGTGTTGCGAATGAAAGATTTGCCCAGGTGCACTAACTGGAGGAGGGTGAGTGCTGGAGTCTGGAAGGGAGCGCTTGGGTTAAAGCTTTGTGTCGATGGCTCTGTGATGTTTGGGAAGGCATTTACTCCTCGGAGCCTCCGTTTCTGGGTTTGAAAATGAGGGGATCTGGTGCTCTCCGAGGAGATGGCTTTCCCAATGCTGAAAGTCTGTGCTTGAGAAGATTTTGTGATCTTGGCATCCTTCTTCATTATTTTGATGCCACATTATCATTATTCTGTGGAATAAGCAGTTCATAGGCGTTTTCATGTGACCAAGTGCTGGGTAAGTTAGATTTTACTGTAATAAAACTTACTGTCTAGTAATTATGTTGGGTTGGATGCCATCAGTTGCCCTCTTGTGACTTTTGGGAGTGAGCTTAAGTGGAGTTTCAGTGCAATCACTGTACTTTGGAATTGTGACCAAGGATATATAATATAAAATTTGTCATCCTAATTGTTACTTTAGCTGTTCATTTCAGTAGAATTTCATAATTCACACTGTTGTGAAACCAGCACTATCATCCATTCCAGAACACTCCTCGTTTTCCCAAATGGAACCTCTGCTCCAATAAATGATAACTTCCCATCTTCCCCTCTCTCAGTCGCTAGCAAACCATCACCGCAGGATTTCTGCCTCTACGGGTTTGAGTCCCTAGGCATGTCATGTCAGTGGGGCCATAGGATATTTGTCCTTTCCATCTGACTTACTTCTCTTAGTAAAGTCTTAAAGATTTTGTCCATTATTTGTTTTGAAAGGTCTTTTTGTAAGCTGAACTCAAACTATAATATTGAATTTGTATTACTTTGTACAGAAAACTTTAAAATGAAGATCACTTGCATTTAGAGCAGTTGAATTAGTATTCCTATGTAAATTATCTTCAGCATTTAAAAATACATATTTTAATTGAAAAAAATGCTTACACTGGTAATGCCGCCATGTGTGCACAGTTGAGGAATAGCATCTTCCCCCCAGTTCTGCGAGAACGGTACGAACTTTTCCAGTTCAAAAGTTAAGGACCTGCAGTGGAATAGACACTTCATTTTCTTTTTAAAAAATTTAAATAATTGAAAAACAAACTGTGCTTAGTTTGTTGTGTCTTATTAGCATACAGATTTAGAAGTATAAACTCAATTAAAAGTACTTATTGGATATCTGTAGCTGCAATGAATCATTCCCCTTTCCTGTGAATCATATAATCATCTACAATGCTTTTTTGGCTATTTATCTTACTTTGAGTTTTATATGTCATAAGAGAAACAGTAGTTTAAAAAACAGTCCATTGACTTAAATTGGTTTTTATTTGATTGTTAAGGCTGGCACTTGGTTAAAAGTTTCCCAGTAGTAACGACTGCCTAGAGTGATTTTCAGGGCAGCCCTGCTTTCCTAGAAAGCGGCTGTTGCAGCCGAAATTATGCTGACTCAGCTCGGGTGGCTCCTGGCCTCTGTGAGCAGGTGACCGATTCGCAGCCTTCTGCTCACAGAACTCCCAGGAGTCTTAAATCCCTTTTGGGGGATGGCAAGAGTGGAAGAATGGAGGAGCAGATGATAGGCTGGAAGATCGCTGGCTCACACACGGCCCTAGTCTACTTTCCTGAGAAAGAAGAACCTGACACAAAGATACCATGCAGGAAGCAGGCAGAGAATGGAGATTAAAAGTAGGCAGGAGGAAGAGCTTCTGCAAGCACAGGCTGGAAAGGCGGTCTAGGTCTGAAAGGAAGAAGTAGGCTGAATTACCAGTGTTACAAAATGTGTAGGTTTCGCTTTGAAATATGCCTACCTGGGTTTGCTGAAGAAACATAGTCTTCACCAATTATGTTCTGCGCTCTGGTCCTGCCGTTATTGATGAGAGCTAAGTAGTCATTGCCCTTAAACAGATATAAATGCTCTCCTGTCTGCTGTGATTCCTTCCACACTCTGTTGTTTGTGCTGAGCTGGGACTCCAGGCCCGAGCTGCTGGAACTGTGTCAGACCTCGGGTGGCAGAGTACAGGGTAAAGCTCAAAGGCCTAGTACAGGGTCTTGTGTTTGAACCCAGTGCCAGACCCCTCATGGTGAGACCCAGCACCTGTTCGAAACTGAAAGCCCTTTTGCAGGCTGGGGTTCACACACAGAGCCTCTAGATCTGCCCCAGCATTGGGTGGGAGCCTGTGCCCTGGTGGGGCAGATGAAAGTTTCAGCTTGCACCATTTCCATCCTTGGAGTGGGTGCAGAGCATATCTTCCTCTCTCCTGAGAAGATGCAGGCCCCTGCAGCCGAGACTCGGGGACTGTCTAGCTTAGCATCAGCCTTGGTGGCCAAGGGACTGTCTCCATCTACTGTCTTCAAACCTGGGGCAGCACAGCTACTGCAAGCCCAGGACTCACAGGTGGGGCTGTAGAACTTCCCCAGCTGAGACCTGGGAACCAGTGCAGTAGACTCATGTGTTGGCCTGCATAGCCGCCAGCTGCACTGTGGGCCTTTGTGCACCCCTCAGTTTGTGAGACTCAGCTGCCACCAGCTCAGCAGCAGCCTGTGTAGTCAGGGCCTGCCGTCTGCACCACTATCTGAACCTTGGCAGCCTAGTGTGACACAAGACCCCATTCAGTGGGGATAGGACAGGGTGGTAAGCACGCTTTGCCCTGGAATTAGCACTGGGCTGGTAGAACCTAATACTGGGCAGATTCTGACAGCCCCCTTCCCAGCTCTGCTTGTAGACCGAGCCTCTGGGACAGCTCCATCTTAGGGGAAGACACATAGCCCCAGTCTATTGGGCTTCTTTTCCAGCTGGCATCACCCTGACTGGTTGCATTAGTCTTAGGCTGTGAGTCTTATTTTTTAGTAGTAGGCACTCTATAGCAGTGTGGCCCTTCTTCCTACCCTTGTGTTGTACTGGTTTGGGCGGGCTGTAGGCTCAGGGTATGACAGAGCTTGGTAGCATTGGCAGTCAGAGGTGTGACGTAGGAACCTCAGGCTGGTCCAGCCATGATGACTCTACCCAGAGTCAGGTAGAGACCTGCAATACCCGACCATAGGCTAGTAACTGTGGAGGAACTATCTGGACCTCCCGTCTAGTACTGAGATAGCTACAACACACCAAGAGCAGACTCCTGGCAAATCTGGGTATGGGTGCCATTCAGGGCCAAGATAGTTGAAGTGTCTAAAGGCTCAGAGAATATAAACTGCTTGTTTAGAATTTCTGGGATAATAGGTAAAAAGCTAGATAGGAAAACTGGAGCAAATACTTAATCATTTAATGCCCAGGCAATGTCACATGCCAGCAAACATCAGGAGCTTTCAGGAAACTGTGACCTCACCTAACAGCCAAGGTGTGAGAAAATGACCAGCTAGCCGTCAGTATGGGAGAACTCTCAGGGAATTCAACAGCTGTTTTAAGGAAACCCAGAAGAAGAAAAGGCAGAAACCTTTGAAGAAAAGACAGAAAAACTTTTCCATGCTCTAACAGAAAACCTAACAAAATGATAAAAGCAACTTAAAACCAAAACTGTTGAGCTGAAAACTACACTCAGAAAATTCAAAACGCAATAGAAGGCATAATAGGTGAGGTAGATCAAATGCAGGAAAGAACTAGTGAGGTCGAAGAGAAAGTATTTGTAAATGTAGATTTGAAGGGAAAAAAAGAATAAAGGAAATGAAGAAAGCCTAAGGAAGTTTTAGACAGTATTGAGATAGTAATTTATTTGAGTTATTGAGGTTCAAGAATAACCTGAGAGTTCAAAAGGGGGTATAAAGCTTAGTAAAAAATAAAAAATAAAAATAACAGAAAACTTCCAAAACTTAGCAAAGGAAAAAGACGTCAGGTATAGGAAGGCCCAAGTTCTCCTTATTTAATTCCCCAAGTTTATCCTAAGATATCTTAGGCACTCAAAAATGAAAGATAAAAAGATGCTCAAGGCTGCCAGAGAAAAGAGGTAACACTGCCCCATCCCACCTGACAGTAGACTGTTCGGCAGAAATGTTACAGAAAATGTCATGAGGTTTTCACAGTACCCAAAGCAAAAAAAACTCCTTCAAGAATACTGTGTCCAGCAAAGCTATCCTCTGGAAATGAGGAAGTGATAAAGAGATCCTCAAACAAAACCTGAGAGATTATATTTCTACCAGACCTGTTCTACAAGAAATGTGAAGGAAGTTCTTCAAACTAAAAGAAAGAGACCTTAATGAATAAGAAGAAAAATGGAAAGGTATGAAACTCACTGCTAAGAGGAGCCATACCAACATTCAGAATGTTCTAATATTGGAAGCATGGTGTGTAAACCATTCATATCTTTAGTATGAAGGCTGAAAAACAAAAGAATTAAAAATGGTAACTACATTAATATGTTAAGGCATAGGCCATACCTGTGTAAAAATGGATATTAAAAATTCAAAATGTGGGAAGAATGCATGCAAGTGTAGTGTTTTCTTTCTTTTTTTGGTACATATTTGTGATACATAACAAATACATTCATTGTGGGAAGTTGGTATATATTAGTTTTCTTATCAGTATCTCATGTTTTTTGTTTTTGTTATTTAAAATCGTACTAGTTGCTATCATTTCAAAATAGCTTATTATAATCAAAATATGTTTTTGTAAGCCTTATGAGTAACCAGACAGCAAAAATCTGTAACCTACAAACCAAAAATATTAAAGAGTCAAAACATACTACTAAAGTAAATCATTTAATCACAGAGGAAGACTATAAGAGGGGGAGAGGAAGGGAACTAAAACAGCACTAGAACAGCACAAGTTACAGAAGGGCTGTAGTAAGACCTTACCTATCAGTAATTACCTTGAATGTATGTAAATTCTCCAATTAAAAGACATAGAGTGACTGAATGGACAAAAGAACAAGACCTAAAGTTGCTTGTAAGAAGCTCACTTCACCTCTAATGACACTAAGACTAAAAATGAAGACTAGAATAAGATATTCTATGCAAATAGAATCCAAAGAAAGCAAACATAACCATACTTAGATAAAATAGACTTTAAATCAAAAGCAGTAGAAAGAGACGGGGAAGGTCATTATATAATGTTGAAAGTGTCACTTCATCAAGAGTAAATAACAATTACATGCATATATACATATATATATATATATATATACATATATATATGAGTACCCAAATATAAAGCAATATAAGATATTGGAGATAGATTCCAATATAATAATAATTGGGGACTTTAATTCTCTACTTTTATTCAGATAGAAAATCAACAAAGAAACAACAGTTAAATTGCACTCTCGACCAAATGGACCTGACAGACATCTATATAGCACTCCACTCATTAGCTCTTGAGTACACATTTTCATCAGCACATGAAACATTGTCCATGATAGAACATATAATAGACCACAAAAGTTTTAAAAAGTTGAAATCATGTACAGTATTTTTCTGTACAAAACTAGAAATCAAAAACAAGAAACACTCTGGAAACTATACAAATATATGAAAATTATACAATTTAATTCAACTAGTGGGTGAAAGAAGAAATCAAGAAACATTTATAAAATTTCTTAAAACAAATGAAGTTGGAAACACAACATACCAAATCCTATGGCATATAGTAAAAGCAATACAAACAGGAAAGTTTCCAGCAAGCACAGCGTACAGCAAAACATAGAAAGATCCCAAATAAAAAAAGTAAAAAGACAAGGAAAAAACCCCAAATAATTGTTGCATCTAAAGGAACTGGAAAAATAAGAAAGCCCAAATTTATTTATTTATTTTTTATTTTAAAAATAAAAGGAGGAAAACATTAACAGACAGACAACCTTATACAAAATAGCAAAAGAACAGTACAGGCAATACAGAGTTACAAAGTGGTAGGAAATTAACAATGCTTGTTGTATTACATAGTGATATCTTCAGAGTGGTTTCTCATGAAAACAGATAGAGACATGCAATATTGATCAATCAAGGACTCATTAACAGTTTCAAGAAAGCCCAAATTTAATAAGAAAGATAAATATATAATGAGCAGAGAAGAATAAATGAACTGGAGAGGGGGTGGTGTGGGGTGGGAGGGTAGTTCTTGGGTAGAGATTTAGTTAGGTAGGATCAAGGCGTTCTGGTGTGCATATTGCACAGCACAGTGACAAATAGTAAGCTGTAAAACGCCAGAGGAAAGGATCTTGAAAGTTTTCACCATAAAGAGTTGAAGTTTTTGAAAAGTAAGATGTATTATACCTGGTTTAAGCATTACGCAGTGTATACAAGAACCAGACTATTACATGGTACCCCATTGATATGCATGATATTTATACTTTCATGCTTCAGTTAAAAAATGTAAAAAAAAAAAAAAAAAAAAAAAAAAAGGCTTAAAGACATTTGTCAAATTCTGGGGATGAGTACATCCAGCTAGCAGCCTGGCTTTTGGGAACGTCTTCCAAATACCACATGCCCTGGCCAGTTCTGACTTGAGTAGACCACGGTACACCACACCTTAAGTAGACCTGCTGTGAAGCTTTGTATCTTCCTAGATGTTCTTATCTGTTTGAGAAAAGATCTGTGCATTACACTAAAATATCCTCACATTATATGAAAAGGGGTTTTCTATATTGCTCACTAATATTTAAATTTCTTAGGTGAGTACAAAGCCCCAGTGGCAGCGAGCAGCTCCATCATTCCATCTGAATATAAAGCAGGATGATGAGATTCCAGAGCCTTATACTATTAAAAACGAACAGTCCTATGGTAAGAACATTAATTCCCATACTAAATTTAAAGAAATTTTCTACAGGAGAAAATCTCGTGTGACATTTAGCTAATAGAGTCATAAAAATATAAAATCTAAATGACATTTATGTCAAGTAGAAAAATTTCTCCCAAATGTTTTCCATCTCGGAAAATAATTGAACCCAGTTCTTAGTTATTTCAAGCCACTGTAAATGCTGTAAAAGCTGATATTTTAGGAATTGGGGTGTTTATCACAAAACTTTTATTTGTTGTAGTCAGAATTTGCCTCCATGTCAAAGGCTGAGAAGTATTTTGTAAGAAGTTTTTAGTTAGGCATGAATGCTACTTTCAAATTAGTCATTTACTATATTATTATTTTGACCCATTAAAATATAGTGCTTATCAGATTGATTACATTTGATATTAATCTTTTATCACTGTTCTTTAAATATTTTTAATAGTTGTACTCTGTTTTTAATCACAGTTTTAATCTTGTTCATTTTAAAAGGGTCTATGTAAATGTAATTGAAAAATACACTATATTAATCAAAATATATATTAAATCAATTGAATATTCTTGAAATAAAGGTTTCTATTGTTATGATATAAGATAGTAGTAGTTTAACTTTCTGAGAATAAAAGAAAATAAGCTATGCTTAGGCTTTCTTGAGGACTTAAAGCATGTTATATTTTCTAATGGTGTTTTATTCTAAGCACTTAAATATTTTTAGCTTGCTTTTAAGAGGAACAATCTATTTTTTTTTAATTCAAGCTGAATACGTGGAACACTTTGGAAAGAAAGGCAAAATCTTGCACCAAGTTGATGATGCTGAACCATCTACCTCCAAGTCAAAGGCCAAGTCTCCTCACAGGGAACGAGAAAACTTTAGAAGTGCTCTTGTTAACGTCATCCTGTAAGTTCCGTATGCTAGCCAAAGTGTGTTACCCTAGTGAGAACCCTGGGATATTTTCTCTGAAACTATAAGAACTATAGTTCTTATAACTTTATAAGAACTTTATAAGAAACTATAAGAACTATAAGAATCTCTAAGGATTCTCGAGATCCTTTTTGCTTTGTTGATGTACAAGGAATGAAATGGTTTGAGTTTAACCCCATTAGGCCTGTCCCACCTTGAAATAAGCATTGTAAAGGTACCAATGTGAGTTCTTCATGTTGGTTGAGTGACCACAATTTCTGAGTATTCTGTTTAGAGCCATGTGGCTGGTGGAAGATTTGGCTAGTTGTTTTTCCCCATCTCATCAGCTCAGGTGATACAGTGAGGTGATGTCTCAGACTGTGGGACTCATCATGTGGACAAGGAATGGGGTACAATGTGACAGTCTCTTCAAGTAGACAAGGAATGGGGTGGAATGTGCAGGTCTCTTTGTGAAGACAGGAATGGGGTGGAATGTGCAGGACTCCTCATGTAGACAAGGAATGGGGTGGAATGTGACAGTCTCTTCATTAGACAAGGAATGGGGTGGAATGTGCAGGTCTCTTCATGTAGACACGGAGTGGGGTGCAATGTGTGTCAGTGCAGGCTATGGTCATCCCACACAGCCTGGTCTGAGTTTTTCAACTTTGTATGGAGAGTGAGGAGGACTGAAATCACTCTCTGTCTTATTTCTATGTAGTGTTGTGGACATTGTTTAGAAGTCTCTTTTATTTCATTATGGTGCAAACAACCATGGGATTTCAAGCCCCACCATGGTGCATAAGTCACCCCAGAACCCTGTTTACTCACCCCACGTGACACGGAACTGGCTAGACGGCTGAGTGCTTACGAAGGACAGGAAGGAATTTGTGGAGTCCTATGCAGCTGCATCAATGGTGGAGGCCTCCTCTAGAGTGGCTTTGAGTTTGCTTTTGCCAAGCGCCACCAGAATGTCACCTGTTTGGCCCACTTGTACTGCTTTCTTGGCTTAGGCACACTTGGATCACGCTAATCAGTGAGCAGGTAAGACTCTGGCTATCAGTTCTTAGAAGAAATACTTTTTTGCTATCTGGAACCCTAGGTCAAGACAAATGAGGTTTCTTTCTTCCCCCACAGCCAGTGGTCTGGCTGTAGAAATGTGTTATACTTAAGGACTATTAACATGCGTGAGCATAGACAGAAGCGAACACAGTGCGCTAGGGAGGACAGCTGGCTCTTTGGTAAGTGACTGAGTTTGGGTGGCTTGGAGCCAAGTTGGCGGGTTGGTCAAGTGTTACAGATAGAAGGGCCCAGGCTTCACATCACAGGGCCTCAGGGCATAGGGTGACCAAGATGAGCTTTCTTGATGTGACCTCTGTTATTTCCAGCCTTCTTTAACTTAGAGTGGATCCCATGGTGGGTTTCAGGTTTATACAGTGTCTTGGTTGGAGTAACTGAGGTCAAAAATTCCAGGCTCTGCCCCATAATCTGTGTTTTGCTTTTCATTGTTTTTCTTTCTTTTGTTCTCAGCTGTGTGTTTTAAAGGAGCTTTTTTACTTATTTCCCAGCATTTATTGAGTAGTAGTTTTTTCTTTGGTGCTATGTTGAAAGAAACAGAAGTTTGTTTTTAACCATTTTGTCATGTCTCAGTTGTGCTGAATGGAAATAGACTTATTGAAGCTCAGTCTTAGAGTTTACGAATTTATTTAATCTCATCTGTGTGTCTGACTGACTATCTATCTATCTACCTATCTACCTAACTATCTTTGTGTGTAGATCTAGGTTGGAACTTAGGTGTCTCATCCAGGTGCTTAACCACCAAGCTGCACCCCCGGATATAAACAGCTTTTTGATATTTCTTATATATGTAGATTTAACTTCTGCCAATATATTTTATGTGTTTTATCTATTTGCCATAAATTACCTTTGTTTTTAAATCTTTTCTGTTTTTCATTTACTTGGATTTTCTCAATTTTCTCTTTATTACCATTGATTTAAAAATTATGCAATATATTTGTTTTAAAATGACAATACTAACCTTTAAAACTACACATCTTAATTTAAATTTTAAAGTTTAAAATTCATCTTATCTGTCTTCCTCCTGAACAACAGATGTTAAAATGTTTTAGTTTAGCTCTGACTTACTTTTCATTTTTCATGTGAGTTTTAAAAAATGATTTAATTTCATGAAGAATTTAAATATGCATATTCTTTTGTTTTAAGTTAACACGTACTTAGGTTTACTAAAATGTGATGTAATTTCTTAGAAAACAACTTGCATTCCACTCTCTACTTGTGGTTCCATTGTCTCTTTTGTTGAGATTCACCACTTAGTATTTCTTGTAGTGAGACTGTGTGTGCAGGGAGCTCCAGACTTTCATGTAAAGGGCTCAGTTTCATCCTTGCTCCTGAATCAGTGGCTAATCTGACAATGAAATCAATGTATAACGGTAATTTCCCCTACACATCTGGAAGACGTAGGTCACAAATATTAACCATCATCTCCTGTGATGTATCATTGTGGATGAGAAGTTCATGTCACCTTGTCCTCATTTTGTAAACTTTATTTGTTGTATTGGACTGTTTCACACTCACTTCTTTTATTTTTTATCAGTTTTTATTTTTTATTAGTACACGTGTGCAGTACATAATGTCTACAGCTCTTGAGAGGAGCTGGTGTGCGTACATAACGCATCTTCATTCTTATTTTCATCCCTTTACCAAATGGATATACTGTTTTCCAAAGGGATATATTGTTTTGCATTCCCATCAATAACAACTTTTGTTTCCTTCCTCTGTCTAGTGATTCTAGTACATATGTTGCATCTTATTATGTCTTGAAGCTGTAGTGCCCTCAATGCATTTTTGTTTTGTTTTGTTTTGTTTTTCTCTGGTACCGGGAATCAAACTCATGACGCTGTGCTTGCCAGGCAGGTGCTGTGCCACTGAGCTAAATCCCCAGCCCCAATCAAATGCATTTTAATACATTGTATTTTTTTTTGTTTGGCATTCATATCTATTCTTGGTTAAGGGTCTATTCAAATATTTCGCTCATTTTTTTATTGGATTTTTTTTTATTTTGCATTGGTAGAGTTATTGTATGTTTCCTATACAAGTCTTTTCATAGAAATCTTTTGCATGTATGTGGCTAATCTTTTTTGTTTTTCAATGATGTTTTGAAGTTTTAACTTTTGATAAATTTCAATTTATCATTTTTTCTTTTATTGTTCATGCACTGAGAGTCATACTTAAGAGGTTTTTCCTTATATGAAGAATGATAAAAGTAAGATAAATGTTTAAATATTAAAAATTTATCACAATAAAAGATACAGTACCACACCCCTCAAAATACTCCTCCTTTCAAAAACACTTATCCCATCTTTCTTGCCACTTTCTGAAGCAGTTGGGGAAGTCCTTTTTCATGAAGGTTGTTCCAAGGTGTGATCACAGTACAGCGCATGCTGCAGCTGAATGCCGTCCAATAGAAAGTCAGATCTGTGAAAGCATTACAGTGTTCCTCATCTACCATATTCGCCAGCTGCAGCACCATGTTACTTTTGACTCTTCCAAAAAGTCTAAATGACCAGGAAGCAATTCAGAACTCTGGGACAGTCACGGCAGCACAACTACAGACACTCAGAAAAGAGGACTTCTCGTACAATTTGAAACTGATTTCAAATCTTTGGGATAAGCACCCAGAAGTGAGATTACTAGAGCAGGTGGTAATTCTACTTTTAGATTTTTGAGAAACCTCTACAGAATTTTCCATAATGGCTGTGCTCATTTGCATTTCTACTAATGGGTTCACCTTGGCAATGATTTCCTTTTCCCCAGAAAGGTAGCTTTAAGTATCTACCACTAATATCCTACATAGATGTAAAAATCAGAGTGCTTTAACCCCAAATGTCAGGAATTCCATTCTCATCACTGCTTTCCCACAATGTACCAAAGAACCTAAAACGTGCAAAGTGGAAAGAAAAGAGAAGGAAGAGCATCCTGACTGATGATGAAGTACAATTGTTCTTATCTTTAGATAACACAATCATATATATAGGAAATTCTGAGGAAACTTAAAAACCACTAGAATAAGTAAAAATAGCAAAATCTTAGGGTGTGGAATCAATAAGCAAAAATCTGTTGATTTTTCTATCTAATGGCAGAGAACAACTACAAAATGAGATTATATAACTATTCATACTAAAATAAAAAGAATAATACTTAGAAATAATTTTTAAAGTACAAGACTTGTAACACTAAAAATACTCAATTCTGTGGAGAGCAATTAAATCTCTTTTTTCAGGGGTGCTAGCACTCCCATGTTTTTTTTTGTTGTTGTTGTTCAAAATGCCTAAGGAATCAGTCAACCTAAGTGCCCACCAACAGAAAATGCAGTACATGTATATAAACAGTGGCAGACTATTCTGCCTTAAAAAAAATAAGGACATTGTCATTCACAACACGGATGAAATTGAGGAGCATTGCATTAGACAAATAAGCTAGGCATAGAAATACAAATGCCACATGCTCCTACTTACATGTGAGATCTGAAACAGCTGGACTCAGTAAGGAGGTATAGAGGAGTGACCACCAAAGGCTGGGTGGAGAAGATGGCCAGAGGATGGCGAGAGGAATACGTCTTTTCTCTGAGAATCTTTGTATAGTGCGGCAAATATGATAGCTAATAATGTACATTTCAAACTCACTAAGAGTATATTTCAAATATTCAAATAATAATGTACATTTCAAACTCACTAAGAGTATATTTCAAATATTCAAAGAGTATATTTCAAACTCACTAAGAGTATATTTCAAATATTTACTCATTACAGTAAATATTTAAAGTGATGCTATTTTGTTTTATTTAATTATTGCACTTGTACTTACAAAGTGCAATATCCCTTTTTACCACCAAATGTACAAAAGTATAAGTTTTCAGTTTACCATAAATACATTTAAAAACTAAACTTAAAAAACTATGCATAAAAGGAGAACAGGGACTGAATAAACATGTACACCAAAGCAGAAGATCTCCTTTAACACTGGGCAAGTTTCCTACCTTTCCCAGTTGTTGAGAGATTTTACCATGCATGGCTGCTGGGCTTTTGCCAAATGCTTTTTCTCTGTCCCTGGAGATGATCACTGGCTTTTGTCTCAGTCCTTATGTATAATCCTTTTAATTTGTTGCCAGATTTGGTTTGCTTATATTTTAGGAATTTTTGAGTCTATATTCATGATTAATATGTGCCTGTACTTTTATTATTATAGTCTTGGCTTTGATATCAAGTCACTACTGGCCTCAGGAAATGAGTCATTCTCATATCTTGTATTTTCTGAGTTTATATAGAATTTGTATTATTTCTTCCTTGTTTGATAGAGTTCATGAGTAAAGGTATTTGGGCCTGAACTTTTCTTTATGGGGAAATTATCAAATTACTAATTAAATTAGCTTACTTGATATAGATCTATACTTTAGCATATGAAAAGCAACTAATGTGATAGTCCATACTTCGCTGGAATAAAAAACAAGAGTCAAATGACCTGCTTGATGGATCATTTGTCTCTGGTGAGTGGAGTCTTTGCCCGGAGCCTAGAATGACAGTCACAGAGTCACAGGACGGAAAGGGTGCTCACTCTCACTGCAAGAGCGACTATATCCGCTCCTACAACCCCTCCGCTTCTCCCGCCTCCCCACCTGGCCTGGGTGCATCCTTCCTGGCCGGCATTATTCCCAAAGGGTGAAGGACATTTGACGCTTGGGAACCAGCAAGGGTGGTAAGATGAACATTTCTTCCAGTTAAAAAACCCACCAGTTATTAAGCTCATGCCCATTATGGTGGCAGAATAGGAGCACCGATTTCTTCATTCCTGAAATAGTTTACTGTTGTATTGACTCCTCTTTTCTGCACAATGAATAATATAATGAGATCCCATCTCTGGGGAGAATAAGCAGCTCTTCTACTTCCAACTACTACTCCTTTCATACTCACTCCTACACTTGATGAATAGTTCCTGAACATCTGATGTGTACTGAATTCAGCTGAAACACTACCCAAGTGGTGGCTTTTTTTCTTCATATAGTTTAATGGAGCAAGGGTAATTTTCACAAAATTTTGGATTCCTGGATTTACAAAAGACAAGTTTAAAGATTAATTCTGGGAAGACGGAACCGGAACCGGGCGCAGGCATTAGACGCGGTTCCCCTGAGAGCCGAAGACGGCAGTGAACGTATACTCAATGTCAGTCACCAGTGATAATCTAAGTCGACGTGACGTGCTGGCCTGGATCAATGCATCTCTGCAGTTGAATCTGACAAAAATCAAACAGTTGTGCTCAGGGGCTGCCTATTGTCAGTTTATGGACATGCTCTTCCCTGGCTCCATTGCCTTGAGGAAAGTGAAATTCCAAGCTAAGCTAGAACATGAATATATCCAGAACTTCAACATAGTACAAGCAGGTTTTAAAAGGATGGGTGTTGACAAAATAATTCCTGTGGATAAATTAGTAAAAGGAAAGTTTCAGGACAATTTCGAATTTTTTTCAGTGGTTCAAGAAATTTTTTGATGCAAACTACGATGGAAAAGAGTAGGACCCTGTAGCTGCCAGACAAGGTCAGGAGAAGGCAGTGGCGTCTTCTCTTGTTGCTCCAGCACTGAATAAACTGATGAAACCGCTCAGCTCTAGCAGTGCAGCTCCACAGAGACCCATTTCAACACAGAGAACTACTTCGATTCCTAAGGCTGGCCCAGGGGTGGCGCGGAAGGATCCTGGTGTGGGCAACAGGGATGATGAGGCGGCTGACCTGATGCATCAGGTCAATGTATTGAAACTTACTGTTGAAGACTTGGAGAAAGAAAGAATTTCTACTTTGGAAAGCTAAGTAACATTGAATTGATTTGCCAGGAGAATGAGGGGGAAAATGACCCTGTATTGCAGAGGATTGTAGACGTTCTCTATGCCACAGATGAAGGCTTTGTGATACCGGATAAAGGGGGCCAAAGGAGGAACAAGAAGAGCAAACACCACTGACCAGCAGAGCAACACTGGCATTCTTCACTCCACATCATGTGCTTAACTGTAAAATACTCCCTTTTATTATTCTTAGAGGATTCACTGGTTTCTTTTCATAAGCAAAAAGTGCCTCCTTTTAAAAGTGTACTTTGCAGAAGTTTCACTCCTTTTCCAGTAAATTTGAGTTAGGAGCTTTTACCTTGTAGCAGAGCAGTATTAACATCTAGGTGGGTCATCTGGGGAACAGAGAGGCTGACTGTGGGGCTTACCATGCGGACGCTGGTCACACTGATTGCTGGAGAGGGTGTTTTTCTGTAATGCACTGAGATGCCAACCTCAGGAGAGAAATGTAAAGACCGAATTGAATTTTAACCTAATGTGACATCTTGGCAGAGAACGTGTTAGTAAATAAATAAATAAATGCCTTAAAATATTTAAAATATGTTTGCATATGTCAAAATATAAAATGTAATGAGACAGAAGATTTTATGTGTCCGACGTTGTGCCTGGGAAGGAAAGGGCACTCCTTGGAACCTTCATAACCTGCTGTTACAGGCCTTGCACGGCTGTATGATTCTTCATACACCGAGGCTTTGGCCCACAAGGAAAATTTAAGAAATTGCTTTGTAAAGCTGTTTGGTGTCATTGACCAACTGCATCCCTGCTAAATGCAAGCAGCATGGTTGTTAAGACAAATGGAGGGTATTTAGCCCTAAGATGTTTGAGGTGAACAGCTTGATTTTTATTGAGCATTTCTCTGATGATTTTTTAGTCATCCTTAAAATTTCTGTGTACTGTTTTTGGGAAATGAGGTGTGTCCAGTTGTACAATCTAACAACTACTGGGGCCTTGCCCACATCTCTGGGATTGGGTGGGAGTGTGTCCTGTTGTGTTGTCTTTAAGTTTACAGTTCACACGTTCCTCTTCTCTACTCGCCTTGCCCACTGGGACTCCTCTGGCTCCTAAGTTTGCTGCTTAGCATTACGAGTGCAGCGGGCAGGTGATCGTGCTGCAGGTGCTTGCTGGACCTCTGGCAAAGGGCGTGATCAGCGAAGGCCAGCGTTATCTTGGGATCGACAAGGCCAGGGTGTCTTGGTATCTGCTGTGCACAGCTCTCCACTCTTCCCCGAATACTTTGCCAGTGCACTAATCTCCTTGGAGATAAAATTCACTAGTGTGTAACTACATGTTAATTTTCTTTTGCAGAAAATCCAGTACCATGCCTGAATTAATTATTAGTATCTAAAATATTTCATTCCTTAACTCTCCCTCATTTGCTTTGTGTCCGTGGCCTATTCAGTCCCTTTGTTTGACAGAATCCTGCAAAATGCATGTTACCCACTACTGAGATTGTTGAGCCCCTGATGTGATTGATTTGTTTCTGGTGATAACTTGTCCTAAAATGCGTGTAGAAAACAGGTATTTTATGATAAAATTGTTGTGTAGCTCATACTCTGTGTGGAATTCAGAGGAAAACCTAGATTCAGTGATTAACAACGCCAAAAAATGCAAGTAACTAGCCATTGTTCAAATAACAGTACTGTTTCTCTTTTGTGGCCTTTTAGACTTTTGTTGTCCTAAAATTCCATTTTATTGGGAAACCATTTTCCACTTGGTTTTTCTTGACAGAGTTTTCTTCTACTTTAAATAGTTTCTAAATAAAATCCTGTATTTCAAGAAAAAGAAAAGATTAACTCTGGGTACCTAAAATCCTGTATTTCAAGAAAAAGAAAAGATTAACACTTTGTTATGGCATCTTAGGTATCAAATAAACCTCCCCTCTCTGCTCACCAGGTAGTGGGAAGGAGCATTTTCTTACCCAGCATTACTGACAAAGTTGGAATTTAAAGCATGACAAGATACTGCTAAAGAGGTTAAAGGTATTCCAGAAAAATTTACTTTTGCCTGAAGACATGAAGATGTGAAGTATGTCTTTCTACTGAGTGGAACCCCAGAAAAAGTCACAAAATGTGGTTCCTATAGGACAGGTTTTGAATTGAATTGAAATATAAACATTAAAGTATTATATGAACACATATCCATTAAAAAGACAAAGGAACATAGGAGGTTCCATGTCACTCATTGATGACTTGTACGTCTCTAGCGATCTAAGGCCTTTTGAAGAATATATTTGTGTCTCCTTCCAAAGAGCATTAAAAATTGTATCAGTGCTTCCTTTAAAACCCATATGCACAGGGCTGGTGATTTAGCTCTGCAGCCCAGTGCCTGCCTGGCAAGCGCGAGGTCGTGAGTTCCATTCCTGGTACCGGAAAAACAAAACAAAACAAAACAAAATAAAACCCATATGCACAAATGAGTAAACTTTCTTTAGGGATAGTACAGCACGCCTTTGCAGAGTCCGAGAAGAGGGAGCTTGATTTTGAAGCAAGAAGAGAGTGAATAAGCAGCAAGAAGCCCTGGCCTTTGAACTGGGGGTTGTAAATCACTCGCAATATGATTGTCTCCCTACAAATACATAGAAGGTGTTTGGGGGAGGAATATGGCACTAAAAACAATATTCACACTATTTACAGAATGCCTAACAATTTGTTTTTTCTTATGATTTAGTAGGAAACTGTTCTGTCTTTATATCCATTATTTTATGATCTAACTGCCTTTTATATACTTTTGAACTTTGTGTTTGTCACTGTCTTAGGCAACAAGAGATTGGTTTAGAATCACCTATCTTTGAAGAAAGCACAGTTCCAAGAAAGACCACTTCGGCAATAGAAAAAGACATCTTGGTAACAAGTTATTTCTTTTCTCTATAGAATTGAAAATAAAGGAAGCAATCAGAGACTCTTTTTACATTAGACATTTTTCTGCACTCCTCCCTTGTGGAACTCTGTAGATGTAGGAGTAAATCCTTAAAATTCCTCCATTGGATTAATTACAGTAAATAATTCTCCTTTTTACCTCCCAAGACCACAATTAAAGAATCTCAGATCTACCACTTTCCATCTTAAAGTTAATCTGAGACATGCCTAGCTTTCACATGCCTTTATTCTCTTTGATAAACTACTTTAATTGTATAATATACCTTTTACAAAGCATATTCACTTCCTCTAGATACAGAAATTTTCAAGTATTTCAATTACATAGTAAGTATCAGACTTCTTTTTCTTTGAGATGGGGGTCTAGCTATGTTGTGCCAGCTAGACTCAAACTCCTACGCTACTGGTGGCAAACCTATGGCCCACATGGTATTTGTTTTTCTTTTAGAAGAAAAGATGTTAATGTATGACTTGTTTTGTCTAAACTAAAACCTCAGTACTCAGGTTTAATTGCAGGGCTGACACTTTGCAATTCATAAGTGGGTTTTGGGTTGCAGTTTGCGTGCTCATCTCTAAAAGGTTTGCTGTCACTGTAGACTTAAATAACCATCTCTGCTCATCTTGCAAACTAGCAGACTATCCGCGAGCATCCCTGTTCTCACCGGTCAAAGACATTAACATTCCTAATTTGAAAGTATTTTGAGGTTTAAATTTTTTTTCTAAAAAATACAGTGTAAATACTTGTAAAAATATATTGAAGTTAAATGTCTATTATTGGAGAAATAATATCAGGTTTTAAATGAATTTTGCATGAACAAATGCGATAGCAGTTATAAAATTATATAGACTACTATTAGGCCAGTTAGAAATTTTCTACGTGCTGTTGCATAACATCTTGGTGATTAACATACAAGGATACTAATTTGTTTTTAAGCTCTACTTCTGATTATTAAGGATAAAAGAATAAAAACTAATTTTTTCTAAAATTTATAAAACACTAAGCTCTAATGCAGCATGGACTCTGTTAAGTACATTATATATTTGGTAATGTAATTTGATGTTGTGTGGAGTGACCCAAGAACTTTAATTTTCATGAAATCTATATTTTTTAATTTTAAGAGATCTCAAATAATGTTCACATGCATTGCAGAAAATACTTTTTTATTTATAAATACTTAGTTCTAGCACTTGGATTTTTCTCAACGGTTCTCTATTTTGAGAAACACATTTCTACACCTACATTTCCCCCTCTCCTCTTTGTAGAGGCATTACTATTATATTCATCATGGAATTGATACAGACCATGTAGCCCCAATGGAAGACTCTTGGCTAAAACATGTACTGGATCTAGTCCCACAGCATCTGAAAGTCCTCACAGACAGCATAACTGTGTTATCAGATGAAATGCGAGAAGATTATCTACTGAGTGTAAAAAAGTCAATAGGTAAGTTGGTATTACTCTCTGCTTATTAATCTGAATATGTGTCCCAGTAAAAATGTTCCTTTGTGTATGGGAAGATAGTGCCTTATACTTGGAACTATTTCCTGTATTATGCTGTTCCTCGCAATGTTGCTACATTACTTAAGATCTTATGCAAATCCCATTAATGAAGTACAACAAGAAATTTGGAAAAACCAATCTATCTGTAGGGATAGATTCCCTCAACAAGGGATGGCCCCGAAGAAAGCCATAAAACATTCATCTCAACCCCTCAAAGTTGATGGAGTGTCTAATTTGTGCAAGGCTTCACACCCTTCATGTTCCTCCCCTGGTCTCTTGGTACGCGTGTGAGACACAGGGCACAGGTTCAAGAATAATTAAAAGTTTAAATATTAACAATGAGAAGTGATCTTGCTGACGTCAGAAACCCAAACATGATCAATCACAATGTTGCTGTGAACCAGAAACTGGAGCACTATGACTGAGAGACCGTCCCTGGCCATGACCTGTTCCTGTGATTCAAGTTCTGTGGGAACATAGTCCATGCTCACTTTTTTGCACATTGTCTATGGCTGCTTTGAAGCTACTAGGGTAGAGGTGAGCAGTTATAACAGGATCGCTGTGCTCACAAAGTTGAAAATAGTTATAATCTGACCCTTTACGTACAGATTTTGTTAACCCATGGCACAGAGGTAAGTTTGACTGAGTCATAAGAATCAAGTTTTTGCTTGTTTTTTCTCACTGTGTGGTCCAGGCTGGCCTGGAACTCACTGTGTATCCCAGGCTGGCCTCAAACTTGGGGGGAACCTCATGTGCCACCATACCCAGCAAGAATAATTTTTAATCATAAGTGAAATAAATGAGACTCACGTGTGTAAACATTGTACTGTCTCCCTAGTGTAAGAAACTGAAAGAGTAAATAAGATCCAAAAGGTACAGTAGATACTGTGAAAGGGAAAGAAAATGCTCAAAAGGAAAGAACAGCTGGGATGGGGGAAAGGAGAAAAGAAGGAAGGGAATAAATGTGTATATATATATATATACACATACATACATACACAAGATAGCTAAGATAATTGTATTACTAATTTCTATTAGTTCATTGAAAGGAACAGTTAGTGCTTATGCCGTTTGATCAATTTTGCATACCTATATCTGGTAATTTGAACAACTACTTTGAAGATAACACCATGCAATATAACAACCATTGTTAATTTTATATCATCTTGTTTTGAAATTCTGTATCATTTTTATTGGTCCTTCTTATTCTCTTTTTTATTTATTTTAAAGATAAAAGAATGAAAACAGTAATAAACACACAGATATTTATAAAATAATGCAATAATAATACAAACAATACAGAATGTCAGACAAGGTGATAGGAAATTAACAATGGTTGTTGTATTACATATTGATATCTTCAAATTGGTTACTCATATAAGCAAATATAGACATGTAAGATTGATCAAACACTTAAGCATTAACTATTCCTTTCAAAGAGAAATAAAAGTCAGTAGTACAACTATGTTAGCTAGCCTGTATATACATAGATACATATTTTCCCCTTCTTTCTTTTCTCTTTTCCTTCATCCCAGTTGTTCTTTCCTTTTGAGAAGTTTCCTTCCATTTCACAATGTCTATTGTACCTCCTAGATTTTATTCACTCTTCCAGGTTCTTACACTAGTGAGACAATATGATGTTTACACATGCAGGTCTGATTTATTTCACTTATGAGTATGGCCTCTAATTGTGTCCATTTACCTATAAAAGCCCCGAGTTTATCTTTCTTTATAGCTGAGTAATATTCCATTATATAAAAATACTACAAGTTTTTTATCCATTCCTCAGTTGATGGGCATTTGGGTTGCTTCCACTATTTAGCTCTTAGAAATTGCGCT